ATTTGTGTTTATTATCTGCTTAGCCCTTTGTAACATGAGATACCTAAAGTGTAGGATCTTTCATATATAGTTCACTGCTTTCTCCTCAGTGTCTAGTGTATTACCTGGCAAAGCGAAAGCCTTTCATAAATATTTGAGGAATAAATGAAGGCTTAAGCCAGAAATAAAGACTTTAAGGGAGGCAACCCGGCCTACATGGTTTGGAGGAGCTGAAAGATGTCTGAATTCAAAAAAACCATTTGTGTTGAGGATCCTCAAGATCACTCTCATGCTCAGTGATTCACTAGAAGGACCCATAGGACTCAGAAGCTACTTAACCCATGGTTACAGTTTATTATAACAAAAGGGTACAGATCAGAATAAGCAAAGGGAAAAGAGGCGTGGAATGAAGTCCAGGAGAAACCAAGCGTCCAGGCATCCTCTCCCAGTGTAGTTACATGGATAATGCTTCATTCTCCCTGTAGCTCTATGTAGTATTCATGTGAAGTGTTGCCCACCAGGAAAGTTCACCTGAACTTGGTGTCCAGGGTTTTTATTGAGGGTTAGTCACTTAGGTATGCAGCACCTGCATGACAGGCTTCATTCACTCAGGTTTAGCTTCCAGAGTTCAAACTGATACATCCTTGCCCAAAGCTTCAGGCATACAAAAACAGGTATTTAATATAAATCATACTGTTAGCATAAACTATCTGGTCAAACTAGTACAGTGTGGCTCAAGGCCTTAGGCATACAGAAACATGCTTATTGGCAAGATATTCCATGGGCTCAGAGGCCATTGCCCATAAACTGAGCCAAGGGACAGTCCTAAAGACAGACCTTTCTCAGGAAAGTGCAAGATTTGAGCAGCCTGGGCCTGCTGAGTAAACCTTTTCTGCACACCATATCATGATCATCTTCTGGTCATGTTGGAGAATAACAACCACCTCAGGAGTTTAGGCTTTTGAGACAAAGTAACCTGCATTCAAGTTCTGGCTCGCCACTGTCTGATGATCTTGGGTCAGTTACTCCTGTCTGAGCTTAGGTTTCCTCACCTGTTAAATGACAATAATAAAAACTACTTCAATAATTATATGAAATTATCCTGCCACTGTTTCTGGCACATAGTGGGTACTCATTTAATAGCAATTGTTATTATTTATATCCATGTGGTGTAGTACTCTGTAGCTTCTAATGGCATTCACATAAATGATTTCATCTTCTGCAGAGAGATGGTTAATGAATGATACTTGATGACAGATGAGTAATGCCTGTTGCTTAAAGATTCATGGTTTGAGGCAAGATTCCCATTACTATGTAGTCAAGAGGAATTAAGATTGACTTATACACTAAATTCAGACACTGTCTTGAAGATACTTGGGGAACAAGATGTTCAGGCATATTTCACTATCAGACTCAAATTATGCCAACCATTGATCTTTCCCTTTGTGGTAGTCCTTGTTCATGCTACTTTAAGACCCCACTTTAGCCTGTGAACAGCTTGTCTTGTGATCAGGGTCTAGGTTCTCAGCAGTCCTGTTTCTGACCTACCTCAGAGGGGACTAAAATAGATATGAATATGCTGTTGTCTAAATCCTAGTATTTGGGAAGGAGGAGTAAGTATGCAAGATTTTGTGGGAGAGGTTCTGCTTAATCAAATGTTTCACCATTTTTGGCAAAAAGAGAGAAAGCATTAATCTCTCTGGAATTTGATTTCTTCATCCGTAAAATGGGATTATTAAACTGTACCTCCTGGTTATCAAAGCCTAAAGCACCTTTTCTAGCTTCAGGAGAGAGGTTGCTTGGGTATTTAATGGCAGCTGTGTGTGTGCGTGTCTCCACTTAGAATTAGTATGGAGTGGCTTCCAGGCTTATGATTATGGAAGCTGTGGACAGCCTGGGTTCTCGGTTTTTATTTCTTCTTCACAAGATCATCTTTCTCAAGACATTTTCTGTCTTTGTAAGGCAAACTCAGAAGAGGAAAGGATGGTGGCTGGGTGGTGGAGAAATTATTCTCAGGTAAGTGGGAAATTGATTTTTCTATAGAACCCTATGCTTCTTCCTACCAAGTAGATATGTTTCCTTCCAATGGAACAGCATGTCTTTAAGCAAATAGTGCTTGAGTCTCTAGTCAGCTTTTAGGGACTAAGTCTCTAGTCGTATTTCCTCAGGTCACAGGGGCTCTCATGTGGTTAACAGATTACATAGGGAAATGATCCAATTATCCCAGTATTTACTAACTTAATCTAACTCTTGCCCATTCTGAATGTATGCTTTCATTTTGCTATGATAGACAGTAAGGGAATGAATATTTACTTCTCTCAGAGTATTTGTACTGTCACTGGAGCATTTATTAAGGTGTCTGTAATGTGCTTAGGGCTGTGCTAAAACCTATTAAGAAAGAAAAATAAGGCCAGAAAAGGTCACAATCTAGTTGTGGTGAGATACATTCTGACAGGTGAAAGAGGTGCTCTTAAAGGCATGTGACTACATGAGATCACTGGTGAATATGTACAGATAGAAGAGGAGTGAGGACCATCAAGTGATAGGAGACCACAGAACCTTGTCAAGGCATTGGGTCCCTCATTCTCCAGTGAACACAGTGGAGAGAAGGTACTTGCCTGATGCCAGCATGTGTGTGATGGCTTAGGACTCAGTGACCTTTGAGGATGTGGCTGTGGACTTCACCCAGGAGGAGTGGACTTTGCTGGATCAAACTCAAAGAAACTTATACAGAGATGTGATGCTGGAAAACTATAAGAATCTAGTTGCAGTAGGTAAGGCTGGTACCATTCCTTCATTTAGTTTTTTTTCTGGAACAAATATTTAAGTAACTGTATTCTAAGCTCTGTGCTTATTAATGGCAATGCAGTGGTAAACAGGTCATTGTTTCTCTCTCATAGACCTTACCATCAAATGACTTCCTCATGAAAATGAAGAGCTATTCATTGCACTAGCTTTGTTTTCTCCATGGATAAAAGACTTAAGATTTCATAAATGTATAGAGAAGTTCAAGCCTGGGTTTCAGGGAAAGATCACCAGTCCTTTTGATATGCAGTGAAAGAGAAAGTGTTTGCATTTTAGATTCATTTCAAAGTTTACTGGTTCGTTAGTTTTGGCATGAATGTTTTGTTTCTCAAGTTATACCTGACAGCATTTGGAATGCCTGAAAAACAGAATCTTGGCCCCTAATTTATGGAAGTATTTGTCATTTTTTGCTCATTCTTCTCCATCACGCATCTTTCCCTGAGAGCAGGGCACCAGCTATACAGACCTGGTATGACTTTTCAGGTGGAACAAGAAAAACTGAGGAGAGTGGAGAAAGTTCTTCAAGGTGAGGGAAAAGGCAGATATGACTCTGTGAGAAATAGTCCTAACCTATGATAGGTGCAGTCCATTTGGAAGTGTTAAGTTAGAAGCTTTTGAAGATGCACTTTTTTTCTGAGAATATTGAGGCCATTTGGTTTCTGAGGTTCCTTGGGTACCTTAAACTTCACTTTCACTTTCCATCTTTGAAACTTTCTTTTGGCCTGACAAAAGATTTGTCCCATTTCTTCTTTATATTTTTCATTTCCATTTAGCTCTTTATCCATTTCCTTTCAGCTTTATTTCCCTATTTATTCTTTTTTTGTTGTTCACTATCAGTCTCAATGTTTAGAGAATCATTTCTTAGTAAATCAATTTGACCACGAGAACTTATTTTTTTCAAACTCTTAATACAGCCAAATTTCTCAATCTGCTTATATTTCTTATATTTTATATTTAAATAAATATATATTTATTTATTAAATATATATGTATATATACTAGCCTGGTGGCAGGCTAGTATAGGGATCTGAACCCTTGAACTTAGTGTTATCAGCACTGCACTCTAACCAAGTGAGCTAACTGGCCAGCCCTCAACTATATTTCAAGTCAGTGTTTGAAACTACCTACACATTGGCCTTCCATTTTTAACACTATTTCTGTAAAAACTTAAATTATTAACTTGTTTCTCAAAACTTACCATTCACATGCGAGTTCACACTGGAGAAAAACCCTATGAGTGTAATAAATGTGGGAAAGCCTTCACTGATTCTTCAGGTCTTACAAAGCACGGAAGAACTCATACTGGAGAAAAGCCTTATGACTGTAAGGAATGTGGAAAAGCCTTTGCTAGCTCTTCACATCTTACTGTACATATGAGAACTCACACTGGTCAGAAGCCTTATCAATGTAAGGAATGTGGGAAAGCCTTTAGATACTCCTCACACCTTAGTCAACACAAAAGAACACACACTGAAGAGAGACCATATAAATGTAAAAACTGTGGGTGAGCCTTCACTATTTCATCAGGACTTACAGTGCACATGAGAACTCACACTGGTGAACGGCCCTATGAATGTCAGGAATGTGGGAAAGCCTTTACTCGATCCACATATCTTATTCGACATTTAAGAGCTCACAGTGGGAGAAGCCATATATAAAAAAGTGTGGAAAACCTTCAGTAATTCCTCATGCCTTACTGAATGTGTAAGAATTCACACTTGAGAAAGAAGCTTATGCTTGGAAAGAACATGGGAAAGCCACTACTTTCCCACTTAATATATACTAATTCATAGTGGAAATGTACACATTTATAAGGAATGTGGGAAGCCTTCCTTGGTGTCTCAGATCTCAATAATTCTAATAGAATAGAAGCCATGTGAATGTAAGGAATGTGGGAAAGCCTTGGCTCTTCCATGTGCCTCACTTACTATTCATGTGTCTATGCATCCTAGGAAAAATGCTATGAATGTGCAGAATGTAGGAAAACCCTGACTCAACCCTCACACCTTCCTGAGTCTGTTTGAACTCATGTTGGAAAGAAAACACTATGACTGTGAGGAGGGTGGGAAGGCTTCCACCATTTTCCTCAGACCTTACTGAGCTTGTGAGCACATTGGATATAAATGCAAGTCCTCTGGATGTAAGGAATGTGTTGAAACCTTTCCCTTTGCCTTATACCTTAATATTTGCCTGTGATCTCACAGGTGTGAAAAATCATGAGTGTAAGAAATATGGGACTTTGTTTTGTGTTTATTTTCTACTTTGGGAAAATGTAAAAACACACATTATTGAGAAATCCCATTAGTGAAAGTAATGTGGGAAAGCCATTTATCTTTGTCATAGGAAACATGAACCACACTAAAGAGGAACTGTGACTGTAGGGAAGGTAGAAATGGCTGTATTAATTTACAGTACATGCAAAAAGTCACACTGGAGAAATACTGTTTGCATGTAAAAAAAAAACTGAAATGTTTTTGGTGAATATACAGGCCTTACAATGTATTTTTTTATAAAAATAAAAATCTTACAAAAAGGTTTCTCAAAGGTGTGAAAAATCATGAATGTAAAATCCTTACAAAAAGGTTTTAAGTAAAACCTAAAAGAGTAAGGAATTTAGGAAAGTTTTGGGATACAGTTTTTCACTTATTGGATACAAGAGAATGGATACTGGCAAAAAAAACGAAATAAATTTTTATTTAAATGAGTTTGTCTATCTGTGTGTCTTTAAAGACTAGCAATGTTAGCATCTTTTCCTATGCTTATTTACCATCCATATATTTTTGGTGAAGTGTATGCTCTATAATCTTTTATTGCTGTTAAGAGTCTTTGGTTTGAGTAGAGTTGGTTCTTTTAATAAAAAGATTTATTGAGTTATAATTGCCATATAATAAAGCACATATTTTAAGCATACAACTTAAGTTTTGGCATACACACACATCCCTGAAACCATCACCATACTCAGGAAAACGAACATATTTATCAACCCAAACAATTTCTTCCTGCCCTTTTTTAATTTCTTCCTCTCACCATTCCCTTCCCCCTAACTCCTCTGATCCACCGATCTGCTTTCTGTCACAGTAGGCTACTTTGCATTTGGTAGAGTTTTTCTATAAGTGGAATCATGCAGTATGCCTTTTTCTGTGGCTTCTTTTAACTCAGAGTAATCGTTTTGAGATTCATTCATGTTGTAGATTACTTTTCACTGTTGAGTAGTATCGCAAGGCATACCACAAATTACTTATTCTTTCACATATTAGTTCCACCTTTTGGCTGTTGTAATTAAAGTTGCCTTGAACATCCATGTACAAATTGCTTTAACATGTGCTTTCATTTAAGAGTGGAGTGACCAGATGATATGTTAGTGTACATATAACTTTTTAAGAAACTACTAAATTTTTCCCAAGTAGTTGTACCATTTGACATTCCCACAAGCAGTGTTTGAGAACTGCAGTTTCCAATTTCTTCCTGCCCTTTTTCAATTCCTTCCTCTCACCATTCCCTTCCCCCTAACTCCTCTGATCCACCGATCTGCTTTCTGTCACAGTAGGCTACTTTGCATTTGGTAGAGTTTTTCTATAAGTGGAATCATGCAGTATGCCTTTTTCTGTGGCTTCTTTTAACTCAGAGTAATTGTTTTGAGATTCATTCATGTTGTAGATTACTTTTCACTGTTGAGTAGTATTGCAAGGCATACCACAAATTACTTATTCTTTCACATATTAGTTCCACCTTTTGGCTGTTGTAATTAAAGTTGCCTTGAACATCCATGTACAAATTGCTTTAACATGTGCTTTCATTTAAGAGTGCAGTGACCAGATGATATGTTAGTGTACATATAACTTTTTAAGAAACTACTAAATTTTTCCCAAGTAGTTGTACCATTTGACATTCCCACAAGCAGTGTTTGAGAACTGCAGTTTCTCGTCCACATCTTTGCCAATAATTGGTATGGTTAGTCTCTTATTTTGACCGTTCTAATGGGTGTGTAGTAGTATCTCATGTTTTTAATTTGCATTTCCTGACTAATGATGTTTAACATGTTTTCATGTGCTTATTGGCCTTAAATCTTTGAGGAAGTGTTTGTTCAAATCTTCTGCCTGTATTACATTGGTTTTGAAATTTTTCTTATTGAATTTTGAGTTTTTCATTCTAATATATTTAATATATTTCACATCAGGTATAATTGCCATATATATTTCAATATATTAGAGATATTAGTATATTTAATCTTAATATTTCATAGTTAATATAGTTAACATATTTAAATATATAATAAAGTATATTTTGTTTTTTATTTTAATGTAGTTAATATATGAATATATGTTTGTATTAGTCCATTTCTGTTGCTTATAACAAAATACCTGGAACTGGGTGATTATAAGAAAATGAAACTTATTGCTTACAGTTTCAGAGGCTAGGAAGTCCAAAGTCCAGAGGGAACACATCTGGTGAAGGCTTTCTTTGGTTGTGACTTCAGTAACAGGAGGGTGTCACACTGCGAAGATGGTGGAGCAGAGAGAGAGACAGACTCTCCTTTTTTTTTAAAGCCCTCAGAAACACACCTCTGACCACCATTGTTAATCCATTCACTACGCCACGGTCCTACAATCTAATCACCTCTTCAAGGCTCCACCTTTCAATTACCATAGAAGGATTTCCCACCCTGTTAAGTCACAGTGAGTCCAACTTTCTAATACACAAAACTTGGGAGACACAATTCAAACTTCAGTGAGTTTTGGGGGTACCTAATTCAGTCCACTACAGTATTTAATATAATATGTTGTACTTTGGATACAAGTACAAGGGATCTTGAAAACATTCATGGGGCTAGCTGGTTAGATTAGTTTGTTAGAGCGTGGTGCTGACAACACCAAGGTTCAGCCGCCTAGAAAAAAGAAAAGGTTAAGTTCATGGAAAGATTCATGTTATCTTTTTTTTTTTTTTTTTTTTTTTTTTTTTTTT